ATAAAAGAGGGGAAGTTAGATACGTTTGTGACCATTTATTTGTAATGAATCCTCAGGTGACGTTGATTGAATAAAATAAAATAAAATAAAAATTTAAGGTAATATAAGATTCTGATGTGTGTTACAGGATCTGAAACGTGAGATGGTGGAGTTAGGATGATGGCAGATTTTTATACCATCCAGTCCACCCACCTAACACGAAACCCCACCCTCCATATGTAAAGTCAAATTTATATTAAATAAGAGAATAAGAAAATTGTTGAATTATATGTGATTTTGTATTAAAATCATATGTACAAAATCATATGTGATTCATGCAACTTTTAGGTCATGTTGTCTGTACTTTTGAACCTTCCTATAATTCTTACAAACCGAATTCAACCATACATTTGGATAATCAACGGTGTGGATTAAATAAGTTCATAAATTTACTCTCAACCACATTTTATAACCATCTCTAAATTTTAAAATAAACAAAATAAAGGGTTGAGATTAGGTTTGTAAGAATTGTAAGAATTACATGGTTTGTATTTGAAAATTCATATATATATATGTATGTATGTATGTATGTATGTATGTATGTATGTATGTATGTATAGGCAAAATCAAACAAGAACAGTAGATAATTAAAAGAACATAAAAACAGGCAAAGCAGGTGCAAAATCACATGTGATTTTACATTAATGGTCAAAAAAGTATCCGGACGACTTGTGACTGCATGTTCAAGTCCCCGGGCAAGGCCATATAAATCACATGTAATTTTGTATCTAATGTTAGTGTAAAATCATATGTGATTCATCCGTTTTCGTATTCTTTTAAATATATAACATTTTAGTATTATTTTAAATATGTATCGTTCTCGTTTAATTTTCAATATATATATATATATATATATATATATATAGGGGCTGGTTCAAATAGAAACCAACCATATGGTACAAACTATCTGAACCGATCTTGATCGTTCATTTTATCATCAAACGGTTATTATTAAATGAGATTAAATAAACAATAATTTAATTAATGTATTAATTGATATGTGTATGAACAATTGTTCAAAGGGTAAATTGGTCAAACGGTCATTATTAAATGAGTATTAAAAAATAATTAATTAATCATTAAATTTATTGGGCTGCTTATGAACAATTGTTCACAGGGTATTTTGGTAATAAATCCTCACTGAGCCGATTTGTAACCTACGATCGATTATGAACATATTCACAACTCATGTTCACATGTCGGCCTTATGCTCGTGTGAACAGCATTTGTGTCTTGCAATGTAAACACTATGTTCATATGTTCATATATGTTCACATGTCGGCCCTATGTTCCTGTGAACAGCATCTGTGTCTTACAATGTAAACACTATGTTCATATGGTGTGATGTTTTTCAATGTCATACCGTATGACATCGTCACGGGTTCGTGTGAACAACGATTGTGTCTTTCAATGAAAACAAGTTGTTCATATGGTGAACATATATGAACATAGACTGCAAGAGATGCACADATHTGAACATTTTCAAAATCAAGGATCGTTGTGCATGTGTGCAGACATGAACATAGACTGCAAGCGTTTATCGTTTTCATTATTCTGATATTCTTTTACAATAGRATTCTCCATGTATCTTGGACGAAACGAAAATCTTGTACACCTAGACAACCAATTTCAATATATGTAGAACATAACTTGAAAAGAAGAACATGAACATGAAATAATAAAGAAATCAGAAAAATCTCATGATCAATTAGAGGTATCTTTTAAGATTTGTAACTCCCAATTAATTAATAGGGGGTTACAAAAAGGTTAAACTACAAAATTACCCTTATCATTAATTTATAATTTAGATTTGAACCTAAAGTGAAGAAAAAATGTGATTGGTTAAGGTTGGTTAGCTTAGTTTGCACCATATGGTTGGTTTCTATTTGAACCAACCTCTATATATATATATATATATATATATATATATGTGTGTGTGTGTGTGTGTGTATATATGTGTATATAAATGTATGTAGTGTGTGTGTGTAAGCTTATCATTCTATTTCAAGACACATTTTAGAATAATTGAAGGAACAGTAAAATATTATATAAAAAATATTTATAACTTTAAGGAATATTGAAGGCATTTAGAGATAAAATGAGTAAAAAAATTGCAAATCACATAATGAACATACAGGGCTGATGATCATGGACGTGATTATCATCGATTTTCGACTTGTCACATCATTATCAAAGCAAATCAACCTCAAATGTTGTTTCATTGGTCAAACAATGCTAAATTATCAAAAAACAGCTCAACACACAACAATCCATCTGTTGCATTGGTGAAATAACATTGTTGTTTTCCTAAAAGCAAAACAAAAAGTGAGTTTTTAGGAAATCGTTGGTAAGTAATCAAGATAATTATGGTTTACACTTTTTAGCCACGATGGTCCCAAAATCAAAATAAATACAAATATTGGATTCATGGTTTTACATTTTTCGCATGCACTGAATGCCTCTCATTAACATTGTACTTAAATCCTCCGCTTAGTACAGCACATGCCGCTCGTGTGAGGGCAATTTTGTCCTTACACCACTTTCTTTAATTTTGTGCTATTTTTCCTTTCTCGTATGAAGGGTTCAAGAACATCATGAACAACATTATCAATATGAATATCGAGAACTCAAAAATTTTGAAGAACATCAATGAGCATTCAACAACAATTTTGCTCGAATTCATTTAAAAGCTTTGTATCTAAATCAAAAACCTAAACGAACTCAAAGAACAAACACTAAATCATATTTCAAACTAAAAACCCTCAAAACCTAGGTTCAAACCAAAAATGAAATTGAAACTCGGGTTCAAACTCAAAACCTAGGTTAAAAAACGAGAATGAAATCCAAACCCAAGTTCATAACTAGAACTGAAATTGAAACCCAGATTCAAACTAGAAACGAAGTCGAAACCCACATTCATAGCTAGAACCGAAATAGAAACAAGATTCCAACCTAGAATCTAAACTCGTACTAAAACCTAGAAACAAAATTGCAACAATATTTAAACCCATATTCAAATCGGCAATGAAATCAAAACCCAAATTCAAAACTAGAAACGAAATTGAAACAAGATTCAAACCCAAATATCACTGTGGTTTTTAGATTTGGATGTGATCCCTTTTTTACACTTCGTGATCACTTTTTGTGAACATAATGTGGCACGAGAACACCAAGAACAAAAAACTAAAAAACTAAAGATCCTTTGAAACGGCATTGTGTAAGAACCAAGAAACACATTGTCGATAATTTGTTAATATTTTTATTTGAGTTAATTCCTATGTATGAAAAGTTGTATATTTCTTATTTATAGGGAGAATAAAGAAAGTAAATGTATTTTTGAGTTGACTAAGGGGCCGTTTACTAAACACTTAAGGGTCGTCTACCAAATGCTTATCTGGGTAAGCAGTTACCAAGTCACATTACCTTACTGGATGCATATGTCAAGGATCAAGAATCAAGAATCTTACCCGGTAAGAACAAAGGCAAGCACCAAGAGTCTTACCCGGTAAATGAGGACGATCACTCTTACCACAGTTAGCGCTTACCGGGTAAATTTGTTGCATATGATATCCTTTTGGTAAACTAAAATCTTACACGGTAAGTAAATGATAATGTTGAATTTTGCCGGTAAGTACTTACCCGGGTAAGCGTTTGGTAAACGACTCCTAACTTCTTTTATTTATTTATTTATTAAATAATATAATTATCTCAACTGAGTGGCTCACATTGGATTTAACATATCTCATAGATTTTAGGGTTCTCATCTGATTAAGCCCATTTACAAGTATATTCTTATTCATTTTACTGCAGATTATAATTGATGAGTAGATGTGTAAGGGAGGGATCATTTGCAAACCTCCCTATTTGTACAAACTGTACAAACCACATTCAACCGTTGATTTCATTGATTAAAGGTGTTTATTTATGTCGATAAATTTTATGTTACGAAAGTTCACAGATTAGAAGATTACGAAAGGGCAAATGGGCAAACAAAATTGAGCCTTATTCATGGCAAGTAATGAAATCCCTTTAAACAAAGAAACATTTTACACATTATCTCTCCTAACTAATCTCAATTATCCACGAATCGAGAAATATACATAACTTCTAATCAATTACATTCATAAAACTGGACATGAAACCAAATATACGAAACTCAATTTCTATTCATCAAACCAAAAAAAATCCAAATTTATTCATGTTTCATTGCTAAAAATAATGAAATATTGGTTTCATATTGAAATAATGAAATAGAGGAGTCATAATTGACTTATGGTTCGTCTAGTAACAGCTTAATGAATTTAATAGAACTCATGGTTCAATCAATTAGTTATACATGACAGTTTGATGTGTCATGATAACAGTAAATATTTAGGAGAGGGTTTTATGTAAAAAATCAAGTTTCTTTTCAAACTTATCTTTCTACACTAGAACACGGTCATTTCATCTATGAAAAAAGCTCTCTCAAATAAAATTCTTTTCAATCTACACAAATGGATTAACCACATAGACAGTTTTATCTATACAAGACTTAATGGAAAACCAACCAAAGAGCCTCATAAGTTTTCTGTTATTTATTTATTAAATTTTAGAATAAATTACGTTTTTTGTCACTTTAGTTTATTGAAAATTGTTGTTATTGTTTTTGTACTTTTGAAATTAGGATTTTCGTTATTATGATTTTGAATTTATTGTTATTTTCATCTTCAGATTTATTATTTATTATTGGCATGTTATTTTTATTCCTATGGTTTACAATTTATTGTAACACCACTTATTTCTATTATTTTTTTTTACCATATTTTACATTTACAGTTTTGGTCCATCAATTTTGAAATTTAGTATTTTTATCTGTGAAGGTGTTGTTTTAAGGGTCAATTACGGATTTGGTCCCTTGACTTGATAATTTCTACGAAA